ATCAAATCCAGGGCTGTGGACTCACAAGGCAAGCACTCAGCTACTGGACTGTGTCTCCATCACTCTGCCCAGTAGTTAATATTTAATTCCCACCTTGGCCATGCTGTGAACTTACCTTATGCCTAGCCTAGGATGCTTTTTATAATACTGGGTTTATTAATGAATTATTAATTAAAAATAAATACCTGTCAACAGGGACCAGACTTGAAAAAATGTCAGGAGATCCTAGCAGTGAAATTCTATGCAGCGTTAAAAACCAGTGGGCAGCCATTGTATATAACTTTTGCTCATCTATTGTCCTTCAGTAAAGATGAAATTATGGAGAGTAGGGAATGTCAGCAGCATCAAAATTCAATAACAAAGCAATAATTCATAAGAAAATAATCTGGAAAAATACTAAGTCATCTCAACAATACACGGAACAAATTCTGGTATACTTATATAATCAAATTTAAGATTAAGAAATAGTCACATGATAAAATGACATGAGAGAAATGCTAAAAAGAATAAAGTCCAATACTGTTTTTTTTACAATACATGTAAGCAGTAGACAAAGGACTAGAAAAAAACATAAAATAATTTTTCCTTTGTATTTTTTTGTTTTTATAATTTTACTTTTTCTATATTTTCTTTTTTAAATTTATATTGTTGTTTACATATGTATTTACATTTTATTTACTTTATTTTACTGTTTTATATATTTACTTTCATAATTTTACTTTTATGGTCAGAAATATTATTTCATAAAATAGCTACATGTCAACAGACCCAAGGCTTTTTCCATAGCAAGAGTGAGATGAAATAACGAAGCGCCTTCATTCACTTGGGGCTCTGAAGAAGCCTTGGGCCACATCCAAGAGTTAGAGACGGGCTTTTTTTCCAGTGGTCAAGAGACCAAGGGAGCTTTCACACTGGTATACTCCCTCTTCATTCCACCTGTTGTTTTGAAGTCTGGTGGTGATTGGGGCCCATGCCTGAGGAGAGCTCCTAGCTTCCCTTAATCTGGACGCTTGTGGACCAGAGAGCTTCAACACTGACCAAGGACCAAGGCCAGCTTGGCAGGGGAATCCCACATATCCAAGGAATATTACTCAAAGATTCTACAGACTGAAGTTTCTGCTCACAGTCAGCAGGTCTTGTCAGCACTCGGAGCATTGAGCAATGTGAAGCAGGACATGCCACTGCCAGCTGCACACGTCACTCTTGCTCTTTTACACTAGCAAAGGCCACCTCAGTTCCTTCTTCTCTCCTCCTCACACTCCATTGTCTTTTACAGAGACACGTGGTGTTGAGCAATTTGGGATATCCTTCCTGAATTTCCATTCAGTGTGGGACCAGCAGCACATCACGTCTGATACCTAACTTTTTACACAGAGTTGTAAACTAAGGGAGGCAGGCATACACTTCCAACAATGTCTCTGCCTCCTGAGTGATAGGATTAAGGGTGTGTGCCACCACTGTCTGTTCCCCAAGAGCTGGTCTAGAGCCACCTTGACCTGTGTGATTCTCTTTTACTTGTTAATGTGCGATGATATCTATAAAGAAGAGTTCTCTTCATCGGAGACTGAATTATCCCCCAGTACCAGGTTAGTAAGAAGTCTGTAGGTCCATGGACCTACAGGGGACCCAGAAAACGATTTGGAAGTCACTGAAAAAAAAAAAAAAAACACCCATGGTAGTGATTTCAAATATGGGCTCATAGTCTTCTGAAGACCTGTTACAAATGAAAACAATAGATTCCCTATTCATGACCTTCTATCATACATGTTATTCCAAGATTGGTGCCAGACCACCCCCATCAGAATTGGCTGATAAAATAATTGTTTGGTTTAATAGAACACACTTGCCACAGCTTCCAGACTCCCTCTGCCTCACTGTCTTCAGTTTAAAAAAAAGTTTAAATTAAAATGATTTAACTTCTGTTACTAATCCATTAACAACCCAATCTATAAAAAATTCAAATACAGCACCAGCTATATTTCTAAGTATGGCAGTGCATAATAAACTATACCATGGACTTTAAAGCACAGCCCATTGAGTGGCAGCATCTGCTTACAGTTCTTCCGTCTTGGCCTTTCTTATCCAGTGTCCATGTATGAACTTGCCTGAGGATCAGAGGACAGAGCCAGCCACTAGATTAGACACAGAAGCCAGTCAGTGGTGGCGCACACCTTGATCCCAGCACTTAAGATCTCATGCCTTTGTCTGGAAAGCACACACACCTTATGTACCTTTCTCTGCCCAGACATCACTTCCTGGGATTAAAGGCATGTGTGCTTCCCAGTACTGGGATTAAAGGTGTGTGCCACCACTGCCTGGCTCTGTGTCTAGTGTAGCCTTGAACTCACAGAGATCCAGACGGATCTCTGCCTCCTGAGAGATAGGAGCCCCCTGCTCACCACTGCAGCCTCCCAACCCTCTGACTGAGGGAGCTTTCTTAAACTCTAAAATACATGTTGTACCATTTAAGGTCGTCAACTGCAAAGTTCTTATTTAATTGTAGATATGTAGTCTGTGTAAACATGTCATTCTTAATGTCCTCTGCCTTATCCTGTGTGTGTGTGTATGTGAGTGTGTGTGTGTATGTATGTGTGTTTGCAGGTGTGTGGGCACACACACACATGCTCACACACAAGTGCATATCTGTGTGATGTATGTACATGTTCCAGATTGTGGAGTGTAAGCATGTATTAGTGAGGGTGTGCATGCACATGGGTGTGTGTGAGTAGGCCAGAGGTTAACTTAAAGTATTTTTCATAGTTGTTCTCCACTTTCTATTTTGAGACAAATTCTCCCACTGAACTTCTGAACTTGGAGTTCATCAATATATCTAAGTTTGTTGGCCAATAAGTTCTGGGGATCTGCTTGTGTTGGCGTCGCTCACTGGTTGCTAAAGTTATAGGTGAATACCCAAGCTATCTCCTTGTATCCTGCCTTGTTCTTGACCGCCTTTCTCTTTAGTTACATTATCCATTCAGTAAAGCCCAGGAGCATTTCTTCCCTTTTGAGCTTCACAGAATTTTGTAAAATGTCTTCGTTTCATGGTTTTTGTTCAAGCTTAAGAAGCTGAACAGGATTGCATAGTCTGCCCTGATTGACTGGAGTATTGGGCGGCAAACAGAAGACAGACATTTACAAACAGAGAAACCCAGGCAAGTGGCTTGCAGGGAGTGTACTGCAGGCAGGCAGATAAATGAGACCCCACTGCCCCCACAGCTGGTAATGGACAGTGTTCCCTTTGGGGCGCAAGGAGGCAGACTGCATCCACTTTTCTCAGTCATCCAAAGGCAGCTGTGTTTATTTATGTATGAATGAAGACGGTGGAGCTGAAACATGAGTGTAGACTCAGCAGAGCGTCCTGTGAGCTTCTGCAGTTCTGGATCTGTAGCAGTGCCCCCGTGTGGGCATTCACGGCAGCACGTTGTCATGGTGAAGCCTTCCTTCCTTCACTTACAAAGAAGCAGATGTATATACCCTCACCAGGGCTTTGGAGGGCCGCACACTAGTGCTCAGACATGGGGAGAGGGAACACTCTAGCAAGGGAACTGAGGTGTGCAACCGTCCTCCTCCCCCTAGATACAGACACGGCCCTTGGAGTCCCCACAAGTAAAGAGCTAAGATGGCATTGCTTTCTTAATCTATTTATGACTTTCTCTCACCATCCCAAGAGTTTCCATGTGCTCAGACCATTCCTGTGTAAAAGCTACTGGGTTGGTTTCAATTTTTTTATTTATAATTTAAATTTGGTTATGATTTCTCTACTTAATTGCTTTCAGTGTGCTTTTTCTTTTTGGTCAAATAGAATTTTTTTTATTTAAAAAATGAGAGTACCAGGAAACAAAACACAGATTCCACACAGAACACACTGGTCAGAATGTCTGTTGTTTGAGAGTCTATGAGGAACAGAAGAAATAATGCCCACATTTCTTCCTGTATCATCCATCCCTCCTTTCCTTTCCTGGATGTTCACTGTTTAGGAGAACGTTGAGAAAGGAGAAGTATATTAGTAATGGATTCAGAGCAGGCATCGGTAACAGCAGCACACTGACACCCGACAGGAGGAGAGCTAGTGTTCCAGCACACAGGATGTTTGAGGCAGGAGACTGATGGAGCTGACCCTGTGGCCTTTCTATGCTTACGGCCACACACTGGCTCCTACACATCCAGACAGCAAGCTCACCCTAAGCCAAGGAGAAGGTTGAGAAAAGAAAACGAGGCACCAGCCGGGTACGTTTCTCTCTTGCCATGGGACAAAAGCTTTCCTCAGCAGGAGACCTAGGTCCCCTCTCCAGACCTGTGCTACAAGACCATCTTGACCAGAAAACCTCCTCTGCTCAAGAACAGGAGGAAGACACAGAGCTGGGAATACTTTGGTAGTGGTCAGTGTGTGGTATCTGTGAACCGGGTCCTTGTCTGACTCTCTCGTTTGTGGGTCTCTCCCGGTCTCCTCTCTAGGTGGAGGCAGAACCAGCGAAAGTGATCATGAGGTTGGTTTCAGAAACAAAACCTGCCGTGTAGGACACTGTAAATGCACATCGTGAGGGAAGAGCACAGCCGGGCCACCAACCAGGAGATGCCATTATAGCACAGTCAGGGAGTGGTTCCAGCCTTGCTCCGGGAAGTCCATCACACACCTCACCTCTCTGCTCGAGGTGGATTAACCTCGTTCATTCTTCCACTTCCTCCAACAGTCCCCTATAGCACATTTAACTACAGACAATCATAGAAAAAGCACATTTATTATCACTCTGAAGAGCAAACAACATATCAAGGCACACATGACATCCACGGGCCATTTTAAGGTGTCGGTTGTCCAAATATCACCTACAATATCAATTCTTAATGAAAATTTTTATTTAAAAAAAAAAGCATTAGAACTTTGAGTAGAAATCCTTCCTATAACGGTTATAACAACACAACGTCCCGGAGGGAACCAGGCTTGTTAGCTTGCTCGGTTCCGGCTGTGACCGCTCTTCCTCCAGGACCGGAGCGGAGGACTGGTCCAAATTCCTGGGGACTAGTCACCTTCACTCTCACTTGAACTGTCACTGGACGACTCACTGCTGTCTCTCCTGCCGGGGCTAAAGCGCCTGTGGGCATGGGGCCTTCGTGAAGGCCAGGCGCCCCTCCGCTGCGACATCCCTTTATTCCTTGTGGAATTATTTTGTCCATGGAGTACATAATGGTTTTTTCTGCTGTGTGTGATTATAATCCCCTCACTACTGGGAGCATTAGAGGAATCGCCCTTGCTTTTAATCTCATTACCAAGACTGTGAGAAGGAAGAACCTGGCCCTGGCTTTTGCCTTTTCCTGGAAATCGTTGTTTTTCAGTCCAGGTCACCTGGTTCCTGTGGGATTCTTCGGCGTCTTTCCTAGAACTACCTTTGCCTCGCTTGGGAATCTCATTGTAACTGGCGCTCCCCGTGCTGTCCGAGCTGCCCCCTTTCGGCTTCTCTTTGGAGGGCCCTCGTGGGTAGTGAAATTCGACTTTCCCTTGATGGGCATTTTGGCTGCCGGCATCAACTCTGTTTCCTTCTTTTCCAGGGAGTTCCCTAAAATTAGTGCTGCCTGTGATGTCGTTGCTGCCCTCCGCAAGCCTCACACCAGTAGCACCTGCCTGTGGTGCGGTTTCCTCTCCGGTGGCATCGCCACCATGTCTTTCGCTCTCTGGGATCTCGTTAGAATCCAGTCCACTTGTTTGTGGGTCACCAATCTCAGCTTTGTCAGAGCCCGAGAGGCCCGTGAGACTGGCGGAGCTGTCCAGACCAGGCCCAACAGCACCTCCTCTGCCAGGAATGTCCAAGAAATGCTGCCCATCCCCACTGAAAGGAGGGACATCATTGTCCCCCCTCACTTGAGTGTATGGGGAGCCACTGCCTTCCAAGTCCCCGGGGATCTTTCCGATTTGGGGCAGATAGTGAGTGCTCCGTCGGACCTGATGGGTATGTTTGCTTTTTACTGAGCTGTTCCGGGGTAGTAGATACCTCTGTTGATTCTCTTCATCTTTGAGGTGGTCTTTAGCATCGTTGATATCTGTTGGAATCATGCCTGGAACACTCTGAGGTTTCTTCTCTCTGTTTTTGTCCCTCCATAGTTCAGTCCGTGTCATCGGTCTCTTTATAGGCTGTGGGATACTTCTGATGAGAGCGGCACCATACCTTTCCTGGCCAGGCCGGTTAAGGAGGGCATCCCCTACATTCTCCGCTCCTTTATCCCCTGTGGGCTCAGGATGCATAGATGCTGTTAAGTCCCCATGGGCGCTGCCTTGGTTGGTGGTGCTGTCCTCTTCATTCAGCATCTGTGGATTTACAAAAAGATTGGGGTGTTTGCTACTTTTGTTACTTCCATTAGCTTCAAAAAGAGACAAAGCTTTCTCTATTTTCTGAGTAATGATTTCTTTAGGTGTTGACTTGTGATTTTTTTTTCCTTTGCCAAGCTGGTGAAAAGCAATATTGTCTCTGCCTTTCTCTTCTTGCTACAGTAAAATTTTTAGCATAAAGTGATTACTTTATGTTAAATTTAAAAAATCTGATAATTTATAAAAAAGTGTTTAAAGCATAATTCATAAAAAGTGTTTAAAAACTATAATATATTTAATGAAAAGGCTACAACCCAGTGAGGATGGAATGGAGCAAAGCAGGTTCCATGGGAAAAGAAGAATGAGGAGATTTGATGGCCACGCAAGACTCAAATATTCAGAAGCAAAACAGTGAGAAAATTTTAAGACTAAGTGGCAGAATCAATGTATTTTTCGACACGCTTCAGTGTGTTGGCTTTCCTTGAACATGTTAACATCTTGGTCATGGTAACTAAAGATATGAATAGATGAAAGCTCCCATGTGGAGAAAAAGAAAAATCAGCTAGAAACTTACACCTTTATGAAGTACAAGTAACTGCTAAAGTAGTTCAGGCAAGCAGGGGCCGTGGTGAGCTGCATCAAATCAGACAGCAGAGAGAATGGCCAAAGGTTTTGATTCTCACTGTTTTTAATGTGTGGGGGTGCTTTGCCTGTATGTGTATCTGTGATGCCCACAGAGGCCAGAGAGACCGTCAGATCCCTTGAAAGTGGAGCTACAGATGGCTGTAAGCTCCCGTGGGAGTGTGGGAAGACACATCCTGACCCTCTGGGATGGGCAGTAAGTGTTCTTAACTGCCTGATCATCTCTCCAGCCCCCAGACAGTTTCAAATCTCTCACTCCAGTGCACACTGAAGCAACTGTGCTAAAGGTACCACCTCAGCTGCCATCCCTCTTCGGGCCGGGCGAGCTGTGGAGACATCTGACTCAGAGAGGTACATGACCCAGGGACGCTACTTTGCTTTTTTGAGCATCAGATTTTTCACTACAGAATAAGAAAATAAATTCATTTCAGGATTTTAAAAAGAAATAATTTTGTTAAAGGATATAATGCAAGCAAAGCATCTATCACAGTGTCTCTCATCAACCGAGATCTATATAAATGACGCTAGTGGTCATTCAGACAGGATCATGTGACGCCCTTGATGCAATGCTAGCTTGCTTTCCTACACAGTGGCAGCAGCAATCATTTCCTCATAGGATGCACAGCTGTCCTGTCCTGTCTTTATGGTTTGCACAGTGGCAGCCAACTGTGGACTCTTCCTTCACTCCCCTGCATTCTGAATGCCACCCTTTGGCTGTGGGTTCCCGAGCTTGTGGACACTGATCACACATTGTCTAAGATAGAGTTGTGAGATCTTCCATCTCTAATTAGTAATACTGTGTGTGCGCACATGTGCGTGTGCGTGTGTGTGTGTGTGTGCGTGTGCGTGCGTGCGTGCGTGCGTGTGTGTGTGTGTGTGTGCGCGTGTGTATGTGTGTGTGTGTGTGTGTGTGTGTGTGCGCGTGTGTGTATGTGCGTGTGCGCGCTGAGGGGCTGGGAAAGCCTGCGCGTGTCAATACCCACATATGGATGGATGTTTAACTTGTGAGAGTTTCATCTCACCTTGCACCATGTGAGTTCTGGTGACAGTGTTCAGGTTGTCTGGTTTGGTGGCCACTTCTGAACCATCCTGCTGTGCCCCTCCACCCCTGCTTGCTTTAAAATGTATCCGACTAAGTGTTTGGAATTGTGAGTCCGTTAATTCCGCACACACTTGAACTGCAGGTAAGAATAGTTTGCGGAAGTCCCCTCTAGTCTGGCAGAACTTGTTAGCAGGAAGTCTCCAAAAGTGTCCATTTGTCTGTCTGAACTGTAAGATATAAACTGAAATGATCTTACATATGGAAATGATGATACCATTATTACTCACTAGCTTTTATAGTTCCAAGCTTATTTGGGGGAAAAGGTAAGATTTTTGTTATGAGGAAAAAAAAAGAACTGTAGTGGTTTACTTTTGAATAGAAAACATTCTAAATACTTCGCTTAAGCCATTGAGTCTCAGGAAGCTGGCCTTGGGCATTTATGTTTATTTGCTCATTTCTGATGAGACATTTAGAGCTGAACAGGTGGCTTAGAAAAAATCAGCATAGTATCTTAAATTAAATTTAAATTAAAAAATTCTGAGGTTTTTTTTTCCTTCTTACTCTTAGAGGAAATTTTGTTCCATTTTGGTGTTTCTATTTAGTTTTTTTTCTTTTTCCTCTTTTCTCTTTAGAAAGGTAGCATGCTTACTAATGACTGGTGTACATTTAATTAGAAGAGCAAATAAAACTGTTTTGTATAGAAAAACAAGAGGCTATGTTTTAATTTTGGTATAAGACAGTTAACCACTTGTCTGAGAAAAACATTTTAAAATACAAAAGCTTCTTGTTGTACATGTACTCAGGAAAGTGGTTTCCAGTCCATCATCAGCTGCATGACCGGCTATGAGTCAGCCGGCTGGTCTGTCTCCTCCTTCCTTCCTTTCTTCCTTCCTTCTGCGCCTTAGTCCAAGGCATTCTTTCATTGGAGAACAGCCCTCCCACTCACTTCTGTCTCCTCCCCCCACAACCTAGCTCACAGTTTCCATTCTGTAGCTTTCCCTGAACACCAGCCCAGAACTGCTATCTTTCTACTCCCCGCCCCGATGGAGATTTTTTTATCCCTTGTACCACTCACATGACACTTTCCACATCCTGTCTTGGGTTCTCCGTATCTCTCTTCTATCTTTAAGTTCTGAGAGAGAAGGAACTGTATTCCCTGAGTTGTTTCAGCTGGCATTATATCTCACATAGCAGGAAGCACTGAAAACCTCTGTCACCCCAGAACCAAAATTAACTGACGTTAATAGACAGATCCAAACAGCCGGAGAGATGGCCATACAAAGAATATCTAGCCAAGGAAAACAAAATTCTACAGAAGAATTCTCACTTCGGGGGGGAAATGAAGCCGGATTTAGGAAAGTAAACTGTCCTTTAGTTGGAGGCATTTGAAGCTGTTTGAAGGTCTTTGGGCAATGAGTCTGCAAGAAGCCACTGAGTGAAAGAACTATTGTCATCCCAGTGACAAGTGCCTCACTCTTTCTCTCCAATGAGACTGGACATGGATGAGGTCATCTGTGGAGTGAGTTTAAGATACAGGGACGTGTGCCACTCTTGAGTACAGGACGGCCTGTCATAGTAACTTCCTTCCCCTGGGAGTCTATCCTGTCCTAGTGTATGGTGGAGTCTGCTCAGAACACCTCCTCCTGAGAAACAGTGCTATTGAGACACAGCACAATGACATTTGCGGGGCTCTGGGGCCCACCAAGGCCACACTTGCCCAAGTAGGTCCTAAAGCAGAACATGATTTCGGCCAAAGCAGTAGATGGGGGTAAGGAGGTTCTGGAACGCAGGGTTGCATACCACAGTGGCTTCAGAACCTGGTGGGGGAGGGAAGGAAGGCAGCATCCACAGCTGGAAATGCCAGACCACCTTGTCTCTGCTGAGTTCCCCTTGCGAGTCCAGACTCAGGCACTCATCTTTATGTTACTTTCAGAGTAGACATATTTTTCATGGTGACCCTTACCTACACCATTATATTAAGGTGGTGTTTTTTTTGGTTGTTGTTGTTTTTTTTGTTGTTTGTTTTTGTTTTTGTTTTTTTTTTGGTCTCAAGAAATTTTCTGGATTTCTTCCTAATACTATAGGATTTTTTTAACTTGAGAAAAATCTGATTTGGCTTCTGAAAATGGGTATTACCTCTTATAACCACAGGAGGGCGAGCGTTGGCCACCCTAGAAGACAGCCACCTCGGCTCTCTTTTGTATAAATCTTGAAATATATTTTTCCTGCATGTCACTGTCAACTGTTTGTCATAACACGCTGTGTCAATTTCACTACCATATTTCAGTGGAAGAGCAACATGAGGAAACACTTCCAGAGCAGGATGGAGAGGACATTAGAAGACAGACAGCTTTACTGGGCTCGTGGCTGAGGTCCAGCAGGCAAATGCCACCACATGAGCATTCTGGCTTTCAGGTTTGCTGTGTGGACCTTTGTAATTTTCAGCTGAGAGTTTTGGAATGAAGAACTGGAACTGCCAGGACAAACCATGGAAGAAATGAGCTGTAATGTGGTGACATGCAAATCTGATGGTATTTGCTTACCTTTCTTGATATAAGTGGAAAACCAACTCCATGGGAGCCCAATTCTCTACAGAAGCCCGTTAACCAGCCTCCCCCGACTTTCTTCGCTGCTGGTTGCTTTCACATACAGCACACATGGGGAATGGCGTTTGGTAGTGACACTGTCCCAGAGGTCTTATTGTGACAGTGTCCCAGAGGTCTTATTATCCCTCTGAAAATTGTGCAGTCGACCATTGTTCCATTTGAAGGGTGAAATCCCACTGACAAGAAGCCATCAATATGTGGACATTTTCAATCATCTACCCTAGGAATTATAATTATAGATAATTATAGCATGTGTCATGATTCTGCTGGATGATGTGCACTCTTAGCCTAGGCACCCAAGAACATTTCAGCAGTTAAAAATATTCCCTCTCTGGCTTTTTTTTTTCTTTACAGAGCATTTTAATAGGTATTGGAGAGGAAAAATTCTGTTTGCTCTCTGTTCTTCTACACAGCCTTGCCTAGTTTTCACAGTCTGTGGTTGAAATTCTGCAAGAAAACAAGGAACTCAATTTCACCACACAGAATATTCTTTCATTCATTTCTCCAAACAACAAACATTTCACTTCTTTTTCTTTCTGTGGATTATATTAGTGTGGAAAATCATCCTGACTGAAAGAGGACTGGACTCACTCTTCCTTAAGTGTGTGCTGGGAAAGAAAACATCGTTTTCCTCCCCACTAGGTGGCAATGTCATCTCTACCACAGAGTCAAGTTCCAGTGTGGAGAAGTGTCCCCACAGCATGGAGGGGAAAGGAGGGCATGGTGCTCCGGTGTCGGAGTAAAGGCCACTGGAATCCACAGGAAAGAGGCGTTCACTTGCAAACCCGAGTGTTAGGTGTAAGGGAGGTAACTCGGAGTTCAGAAGGTGTGGTGGTAGTGTAAGTCAACGGCTGGGTTACGATGTCGTGCTGCCGAAGAAGTGCAGCACCCACCATAGCCCTGAGTGCACAGGGGCACAGTGGTGACTAGTCACCACCTCAGCCCTGTGTGCACAGTCGTGACTAGTCACCA